CATTTGTGAGTATTAAAGTTCGGGTTGGGCCAGTAAAAACATTGATCAAACTCGTCCGACAGTAAAGATTCTCCAGATCCAAATGATGTTTTTCTAAATATTTAATATGAAATAAAATGAAGTAATTCGGTAAAAAATCAAACAGCAGATACCATTTCAATTGTTAATCTGTCAACTGACCTTAAGACTACGTATAAAACTTTCTACAGTAATATTGTGTAATACATGAACGATTCCCGTCACAACGGGCCCCAAGCGAGCATTTTGCCAAAATATTTTATACATAAACATTCAGTAAATTGTTTTATTACGTAGCCATGAGGTCTATATTTTAGCCAAGTGTGTTAAAATTTGAATGACATTTAACTATTCAGGCCATGTTGAAGATTATATAATAAAAGAATAAAAGTATTATAAACATTATTGAACAATATGTAATTCAATAAAGCCAATTATAATACCGAAAAAGTATGGATATTAGTAAATTTGAGTTTTGTGTTTGATTTTCACAAATTTGGGCAATCTTCTAAGGGTGTAACGGTTTACCGGTATACCGATATATTGCAATATGAAAAAATAAATTTCGAACCGCGGTACGATTTTTGGAAAACCGGTATTTTATAAAAATCATCATTTTCAATTAATTGCCTTCTAATTTTGTATAAATTCACATAAAATCTTTAATTGGCAAATTTTGTTGGCACCAACGTAAGATAAAAGTATCCGACAACTAGTACACTTGAAAGTCAATAAGCGGCCGCATAATTTACATAAGCCGCCCAGATGTGAAAGGTCACACGCGACTAGTTTTGTTGATCAAATTGTGTGACACTACTTTCTATTTATTCCTTACATTTTTATTAAGTTTCTACTAAAAATATATACATATAATAATAATATATAAATGTTACTCCATCTTTACATCAAAACATATACACGACAATACGTATTGCAATATATTGCAATACGCTTCAGCAAAATGGCAATATATTGCAATACAGTTTTTGCTGTATTGTTACACCCCTACAATCTTCTGGATAAGACCCGGCCTTATAATGTATATTTTAGAAATTTTTATGAAATTTGTAATTATACACTTAAGAAAACAGAATGAACCTTATAATTATACTCCTGGTTTAGACCCCTGTGTTTATTCCAGGATGCATCCAAATTTTGTATGTCAAAATGCAGGGCAAGTGGATTTTATGAAGGGCAAGTAAATTTGGAGGGTCACTCGCCCTGCAGGGCAAGTGGGCCTAAAAAATCATCTCGACCCAAAATATCTAGATGACTTTCTGGTATTATCTGGTAATTTTATTTTTTGTTAAAGGTTGGTCGCTATGTAGTGATTTTATTCTACAAATCAAGTCATTAGTGCCACTCCTAAATAAGTGTTTAAGAGAATGTTGTGTTTTATTATGCAAAATAACTTAAATATAGAATGATTAAAAAAAAAGTTGAAACTTTAACAAATTATTCTGGATTCACTGATATTTAATTTTTCATAAAACATTATTTTTACATGCTTTTGTCATATTTTTATCTGAATGTTGACTTGGTTTATATATCAGCACTACAAAGTAGACATGTTTTCGGATTCCAAAGTGCTAATTTCATCTGTTTTAAGCATGTCCTGATAATAAGAGAAACAGCGATAAGCAAACTTGTGTGTCTAGATGAAGGCATTACAAAATAAAAATGCTGTACAACCAGCCTCTGTAGTCTGTATAGGCTAACTGTATGTGACTCGCATACAGCTAGAACTTTTGGCTAGGAGTATGGACCCATATGACTATCTACTTCCTTTGGCATTTATAAGCACTATCACAAATAGGATGGTCCTTGTGTGAGTGTTTTTTTTTCTGCATGAATTAAAAAAATTCATTTACTTTAAATAAGTCTTCTAAAAGCGCTCATGATGGGCCTCTTGGTTACCACAGGTTATCAGTGTGGGACTAAGCCTTACCCCTAGGGGCCCACCCCCGTAGAAACCTATATACTACCCAAATATCCTTCAACCCATTCAATTTTAGGTACCCAGAACAAGGTATTTTAACATGAAGTCAACACTTCCAACTTTTAAGTCAAAAATACATGTAGCTGGAAAATCAACAGCAAATATATATTTCTACATTTTATATATTTTTTATACTTCTTGTTGACATTTTAACAATTGTTAAAAAAAATCAAGTTATTGGCCTTCTTTGGAGACAATGATCTGTCTCTGCATCCCCACTTACACAACATATCCGGACTGTAACTTTGTCATGCATTAAAGGATTTTAAAACAACTAGGAACAAATGTCTACCACATGATGATGATGTGTCACCATTAAGACCCATATCACTCCTTAAAAGCTCAAGGTCAGACACTAAGAGGTTGAATATTCACATTCATGTACGGACTGTAACTTCGTCATGCATTGAAAGCTATTAAAATTACTTTGTTTTTTGGGCAGTTTATCTATTCATACTGACAAGAATCTTGGCGGGTGGGGGGGGTGACGGAATGTTCTTGCCAAATAAAGGCTGTTTCTCTAAGCCTTATATAGGTATATTTTCCCCTAGAAATGTCCTGTGTTTTTCACCAGAACCATGACTTAAAAGCAGCTGACTAGTATATCAGCTAGTTGATAAATTTAATTGCGGACTGAAAGACAGAAAGCTGTTCCTATAGATAGCCTCTGCTATATACCATGCATGTTAAATTGAACTGAAATTGAATATTTATAAAATGTGTGGGTAAATTCCCTTCTTAGTTGTTGGAATTTGATTTTAGGTTTTCCCCCCTTTCTGATTTATCATGCTGTCAAGCCTATCATCACTTCAGAAAGCCACAGGTTGAATTTAAAATTGTAGAAAAAAATCACTGAAAACACTGTATTAATAAAATCACTGAAATTGCAGAAATCATTTGAAACTGTTTTGCTGTTATATATAGATAGGTTACCATGCACTTGATTAATGATAAAAAAAGTGATAACAATTAAATTGCCAGGGTTATCTCTGTGTTGAGGTTATCTTTCCAACCAATAAACATGTTAAATGAATTTAAAATTATACAAAAACTGCTTTGATGCCACTCACCAGTTTATGTTTATGATTTTCTAAATTTTAATCAAGTTCAAAAATGTTTTCATTTATTTTCATTTATTTGTTTTAAAATAGAGAAAAAAGCAATTCCTAGGGACCAGCCAAACAGCAAAATTGAAAATGTTTGGGTCTTGGTTTGATCCATAGAAAACCATGTGTGAATTCATGTAGAAGACTTAGATATCAGTAAGTTTGTTCAATATATATATATATAATTATATATATAAGGGTCATTATTTTTTTTGTTTCAGGAGTTTACAGTGCTGGTTTTCGTTGCTTTTTTCGTTCCACCTTTATCCAGCAGCTTGCCTTACTGTAACTCAGAAAAGGTAAGTCTTAAATATTATTCATTTATTCTATGATTTAGCCAATAAAAATTAGGGATGTCACATTTAATTGGGTACGGTCAGATTTTAGCTAAAAACTCGTTAGAAAATTCAATAACTGGTAACAGATAACTGGTAAAATTGAAAAAAAAAGTTACTGCTGTCCTGCGATCGATTATGGTCTGAAATGTTTGCTGTTCTGATACTACTTGTTTTGAAATGTTCCGTAACATTGGATGGTCCATAATAAAATATCTTGAGATTATTCAACAAATGGTAAAGTGCTGCTAGAGCAAAAAACATGAAATAAAAACTCGATCCAACCTTTTAATGACTTACCATAATAGACCAATTGATGGATTGATATTACCTTTACAATGTAATTGGTAATGTTGACATTGTTACTATCAGATCAAATGCCAATAAAGTTCAAGGTGCATGTACATTGCAAGGGCAGTGTTTATAAATAATCTATATTTATTGAGAAAATCCCTAAACTGACAGCTATACTGTTGTCAAAGCGATAAAGACACATCAGACTCGCGGAGTTTTAGTATTTAACTTTGTGTAGCATATATTAAAAAAATCACATCAAGTTTGACTTTATCTCCCCACAGTAACTTGCATCATAAAATGTATGTCACCTTTATGCAGTAATGGGTTAACTCCTAATAAATTATTTAAGGAGTGAACCTGTTACTGCACATACATGTATACATGTCAATTTGGTTGATAGAAATAATAATTGTACTTAAAAAAATATAATTGGTTCATTTAGATTGTAAAGTTCTTTCTGTGACTTTTTGATCATGAATTTATATGTAAGTATGTGTAGGTCAAATGTTGGTGAATTAATACTCATTTTATAATAAACAAGTGATTTTGTTCAGACTCCTTAGAGCAAAGAATAATGGATTGATCATTGATAATATTGGGTTTATCGTTGATAATATTTGATTGATAATTGAATTAATATTGCATTGATCATTGAATTAATATTGAATTGAAAATTGATAAAAATATTGGATTCATCATTGATGCACATTAGATTCATAATTGATAAAATTGGATTCATTATGAATAATATACTAGGATTCAGCATTGATAATATTGTATTTATCATTGGTAATATTGTATTAATTATTTATGATATATTGTATTTATCATTGATAATATTGTATTTATCAGTGATTAAATTTGATTCATAATTGATAATATTGAATTCAATACTGATCAAAATAGATTCACTGTTGATAAATATCGGATTTATCATTGATAAAGTTGTATTCACCATTGATTATATTGGACTCATCATCAGCCAAATTTAGTATTCATTATGATTCTGACGAATAATAAGGATGGTGTACCGGTATGATGTTTGCACCAAATATTAGCACCTACCATATTACTCTTATAGGATATCCATAAAAGGCTGTTAATGTTTAACCAACACGTTTTAAAATTGATCCTGTACAGGGGGGGCGGGGCTATATCTCCATAGCAACTACCAGGATATGTGTAACTTTAATAATAAAGTGATAAGAGACTAAGACAGTTTGTAGTGGCTTTATAAAGGTCAGGATGCACTGATAAGATAACGGAAGTCAGTCCTGTATTTATCAATACGATACCATTGCATGTTTAATTTCAGCCATGGTTTATCTTTAGTTTTATTCAGATCAGTTAAATGATAACATATTTGGGAGATTTAATTCTTGTGTGTGTGTTGCACTTTATCTTTAATAGTATTTTCTTTTCATGACTGAAGTGTTTGCAAATCCTGCCCACTATATCTCATTGAAATTGAACTTTAAGTCGTACAAAGTGAAACTTTAGTATATATTGTTTTATGTTTATAGTTACAATACATGTATGGATACTAGATATTAAGTGGTAAGTTATTTAATTTTAAACCGGTTGAATTTCCTAAATGGACTAATCTATTCTAGCTTCTTAGAAATTGAATATTATCAATTTTTAGGAATATTTAAAGTAGTCCAAGAATTTAGTACAGTCCAAGAAATCAGTGAAATAATTGTGCACTTTCTGTAAAAAACATGAAACTTGGCGGCATGTTGGCAGGAAATAGTATTTCAATTTATTTTAGCCTGGGATCCACTTTTTAAAAATCCAAGATGGCCGCCAAAATGTACATTGTAAAGATGAAAATATGAAGATATTCAGCCAACACTATAATTATGTTTATTAAAACTTCTTAAAGGGAGACACAGGCAAACTTATGTCCTGATAAAGAATAAAATAGTGGTTTCATAACTTGACCAACGTGGGTCAGGTTAGTCTTAAAATTTCACAATAATTGTCACAGTGAACTCCAGTGTTTGTTCAAGTAACATGACTTGTTTTAAAACTACTTGGTGATTCTGTTGGCGTCTAAATTTCGTTCAGCTTATATAGATATATTTAGGCTTTAATTCGAAAAAATATAAGATATAATTACTGAAATTTTTGCTGGAACTTTAAGAAATGTCATGTTAGGGTGATTTGAGTTTGTAAGATCATTTTAATATTTTTGTCATTTATTTGCCTGAGTATCCCTTTAACCTATTTAGCATTTGCCTCCAGTATATAGAGTCATTGCAGCCTGCACAACTGGGCAGATGTCTGGCCATGCTGTCTATACTGGTGGAAAAAGTTTGATACTTTAGAATCCAACAAGAAAAAAGTGTTTTCCTATTTTATTGTCATTGTTTCTATAGTTATATATTACATTTCTTGTCTTGATGTACAAAATGATAATTATTGAGTGAAATACATAAATATATTTTCATTAGCTGTTCCAGCTCATAAGTGAAAATGTGTTACCTTATCATTGAAACAAAAAAAATAAACCTTTTTCTTAAATTCTTCAATAAAAAAAATAATTTTTTTTAAAATTTTGGTCGGCCTCAATTAATGTATAGTGCACAGTTATTTTCTTTTATCTATCAGTGAGTGACTTTATATGTGTCGTCTTAAACTACCGTACAGGGGTGAGTAACCAGAAGCTTTCGTTAAAATCACGCTAACGAAAGCGTTAGCAATCGCGTAACGAACACGTTAGTGATTTTAACGATTGTTTTTGTTGCATAACCAGAAAGCATCGTTATGTTATCGCTAATAAGTCGTTAGTAAAATTCATTAACGAAATCGTTGTGTAATCGTTAAGGGTATACACAGCATTTTGGCACCACCTGTTATTAGCTTTTCCTGCATAGATTACATTGCACGTACAAATAATTGTTTTTAAACTGTTTATAATTTGTTTTAATTTTTTTATGCTATGTATGTATGTATGTATGCCATACGTTCGCCGTAAAACGAATATAAAGAAAGCAATCCTAAGTCTTTGGATATACAATACAGAACAGAACATTATTTTATTTTGACATGTACATAGTACATAATCATACTAAATGTGATGATACATTGATAGAAATACATCAACAATACAATATAAATACTAATTTTCAATGATTTTTAAAATAAACTGTGAAGACAATGTCATGTTACATTTTATAATGGCGTTATATATAGTGCGAGCTTCAGTAATTATACTAGAACGTTATTTCAAATCAACACAAATTGATATTATAGTGTTGAGGATAAACTGTTTTAAACGTAATTAAATATACATGTTTATAGATAACAGAAAAATCTACAAGTTACATAAAAATATTAAATGGAATTTGTATGTTCATTAATTATAGAGACATATATAATTATATACATTAATCAAATTTATCAATACAATACAATACAAAACAATACAATAATGTTTATTTGCTTTAAACATTATACAACGTTTCTAGCAAAATATATAGACAAGAAATATTGTTATATGACCATAATTACAAAAGAACATTTTGGATTTGTAACAAAAGAAGAGACTAGATATAAGTTCATTGCCTCATCTTTAAGATGCAGAATATTTCGGTATGTGTGTGATGAAAAAGAGGTGTACACTATCTAAGAGTAAATGTTAAAGTGCAAAGTAAATAAAAATCAATAAAATTTGTATACTTTTTGAGATAAATATAAATATATAATATCTCCTCGATGAAATGCTATATATATACATATACAGTTGACTCTCGGTTACTCGAAATCCAAGGGACTGGGCATTTTACTTCGAGAGAAGCGGAATTCGAGTAACGTGGAACTGCCGCAATTATGTTGACAGTCGAACATGTATATATACATGTGCCTGATTAAATGTGCAAAGAAGTAGGTTTGTTATTGTTGTTAGCAGCAATGCTGCAATATTTATGCGTTGAAATGACTACAAATCATAATGAACAAAAATATATCATTCAAAATTTTAATACAGTATATAAATAGTGAAACATAAACATACAATTTCATTTGATTTAATTGATCATCGGACGAAAACGAAAGTAGCAACTATCGTGAACCGGAAGTACAAATAAATGTATGCAAAATGACGGAACATTAATTATACAAATGTCATTTACGTTGATAACACACATACCTTGGCTGTTATTTGACTAACACCCGTCATACTGGCACGAGTCACCTTTCTTAAAGAAATGTAATTAAATTTTAATTAGTTATCTAACTGTTAAAACCAATTAAGTGCTGAAACGGATTAAAGCCACTTATACGACGTGTTAATAATACATGATGACCAATTAAAAAATACTATGAAACGTGTAAATCACGAGTGACAACATCTCACCTTGATGTCGCCGACCTTTGATCAGTCGTCTGTTTTCACACTTCGACTAATTGAAATGAAAATAAGTTGGACTTTAATTGACGGGACCAAATTTTCTTTTCGACTAAACAGGAGTCTCGGTAAGTCAAAATTTGACCTAAGCGGAGTTAAAATACAAAGATAAAGAAGGAAATTTGACGGGACTTAAGAAATTCTTCGACTAACGCGGAATTTTGAGTAAAGCGATTTTGACTTATTGAGAGTCAACTGTATCTTGATTTGATATTTATTTGTGATGAAAAATAAATAAAGATTTATAAACAATTTAAGAGAAAATGTTAAGTATCTTTCCTTTTAAAGGCAAAGTATGTGAATCATTTTTTTAAGAATAAAATGATAAAATAGTTTCAAACTTTATGATTGTTGGCCAATGGCAATAATATCTTCGCTTATATCTTAATCGATGCTTTTTAAAATATTGACGCTAAATAGCAACGTGATTTTTGTTTTGATTTTAATGATGCAAATGAAAAAATGAACTGCTTTTTCTGTAAAACTTTCTTTACATAACCTTTGTTTACACACTGGTGAAAATATTTAATAAATCTTCGTATGTTGCTAGCTTGAAAATTACATTGGGAAACAAAGCAAGTTTTGATTAATAAACTCTACTTTTCATGAAAATAGAGATTAACCATTAATTTAAAGTACATGAAAGATATATAATGTTTTGTTTTTTTAATATACTCCGCTGAATTTCATATATGACCAAACACGTCAAAATTTATCCATATACTCTGTTAAACTCTTTCATTGTACATGAATATGTCTTTATGCTGAATTCTTTAATTTCACTTTGTATATAGAACTAGTATAACTTCTAAGTCTTTTAAGTATTAAAAAATTGAAACTTTAATGTAATATTATATCTATTTAATTTCATACATGAAAAATTGTGATGTATTGCTAAACATGCAATACAAATAGTGTTAGCTTGTTTTGAGATAAATAAGAAAGAATACTATCACATAAGATAACTAAGGCGATTAACAGGTCACTTTGTATTCTCTATGTCAGTTGATGAAATTAATCAACCTCCTTAGAAGCATTCAAACATATAAGTGTCCAAAGTCTATCAGTTATCTAAATACTCTAGCAGCATGGCGGTCATTGTCTGCAAAATGAAAAAACAACATCACTTGTATAAAGATATTTGGAATTATTCTAAAAATCATTTACGAAAGAAATGCTCACTTAAGTTTAATGAGTACGGTTACGTTTTATTTTGAAAATGAATGCAGTCATAATAATACATGTAATAATAATAATAATAATAATAATAATAATAATAAAAATAAAATAATAATAATGATATTAAATAATGATAAATAAATAATAACTTTACATATTAAGACATTTACAGATTGTAACATCATACCAAGGACTTATTATCAGGAAAATAGAAAGCAAATACGCTGTAAGAAATAATATATACTCATAAAAGGTTTGTTGAAAGGGCTTCACACGTTGTTTTTCCATTAACGAAGGTCTAACGTGTACTCCGAGGTAGTCGTTATTTAACGACAGTTTCGTTACAATTTTTGGTATAACGAACGTTTTAGGTTAGAGGGTAAATTACTAACTAAACGATGATCGTAACTCTAACGAGTGCTTCTAGTTACTCACCCCAGAGAAAATATTAACTATATTGAGAAAATATAACAGAATTATTACTATTCAAAGTTGTGATAATTAAATGAATAACTGAAGATATAGACTGTCAGATCCGAAAATAGTCCCTAAAAATAAATATGAGTATGACTCCACCCACTTTCATATTTATTTTTCATGTGTGCTGTACAATAAGCGTGGGTTTTTGTGTATTCCAATAAAATGTTTTGGTTTTTTTATTTTATTATAATTATGGAACAAATTTTCAGTCATCATGATAAAATTCTGGCTTGTGAAAATATTATTCAATAAATGAGCCGCGTCACGACAAAACCAACATAGTGCGTTTGCTACCAGCATGGATCTAGACCAGCCTGCGCATCCGCGCAGTCTGATCAGGATCCATGCTGTTCGCTATCAGTTTCTCTACTTGTTAAAACAGCATGGATTCTGATCAGACTGCTCGGACGTGCAGGCTGGTCTGGCTCCATGCTGGTCGCAAACCCATTATGTTGGTTTTGTCATGACACGGCTCATATATGGAATTTTATTATATTTCGTAACAATATATATATTCCATTCCATATTTCACTCAAATGAAAAAATATCCTCTTACTATTTCCTATATGACTTAATAACAATGTACAAAATAAGACCTGACAGAATTTTTTTTTATCACAAAGGTGTATGATCAGTAATAATTTTGTTAACGTTATACATGTAGAAATTAGAATAGAGGGTTATAATGCACCTTTTTTGTGCATTAACATCTGAAATGTATGCGGATGCATTTAAAGCCTAATTAAGCCCTCAAGATGAGGGATTTTGCAAGTCGGTTATGGATTAAAATATAGTTTAAATATGAGGAAGTATAATCATTTATAATAAATGGTAATGTAATTGAATCTTTGGGTCTAGTATTTGTCTCTTGATGATTTTACTAAAATGCACGATCACACTCTGGGTTTCTTCCCCTCAAGTGTCATAATATACAAGTTCCATATCAAAATACTTTTATACCTAGCTGAATAACCTTAGTACTTGTTTCATTATATTTCTAATATGATCCTTAATCTGAGCAGCTTTTCAATACATTGAGTAATAACCTACTTTAGTAGGTAGGGTTTAAGTAAATAGGAATCCGAGTTAGTGTAAAATATTTTTGACTTAAGTGGACATTAATTTTAATGAGAAGTTGCACATTTATACAGGATGTAAGCCAATACTAAGAGAAGTATGATAATAAAAGATACAAAATTTGCTCATAAATGCTGTTAAACTTGAAATGCGTTACATCTGAAGAGAAAATATGAAACAGGGACTGTCATTGTTTATTAAAAAAGAAGTAATTGTTTACATTATATGACATGTAGATATGAAAGTGCACAATGTCATGTACAAACGAGTAAGTGGTACACTTTAACAGGACTTAAACAATATATATTTCAAGTGTTGGACTCCACTTGTTTTTTTCTTGGTAAAAAGAGGAGTTCGGTTATTTAATATAGAATTTTCTATGATGCCTAAAGAAACACATCTAGGTTTTATTTAGTACTGACATATTATTGTTTTAATTATAAACACAACTTTGTTATAACTTGCAGATGATTTTCGTTGAAGTGTTATTTCAAGACTAGTGTACAAGAGGTCACTTTGGGCTATATGCATACCACCTCTCAAGTGTTGCAGGACTACGACCAGTCAAATATGATGCGGGGCAAGCAACTTTTAATGGTTTTAGGGCTTGCAATGGTGTGCACAGTTTTATATATGACTGTCAGGAAGGATTATCCGGAATCAGAACAATTATCAGACGATGCTTTGGAGAGAATTAATCATATTGTATCAAAAAGTCAGAAATTTAATTCACAAATAACACAAACAACCTCGGCTAAAAAAATGTCCACGAAAAGTAAAAGTAATATTGTGATAGAGGGAGAAAATGATTTGTTGGTCATTGCAAAAAGAATAAGTGGTTACAATAGAACAGTTCTTGTTACGATGGTTAACGATGCTTATTTAAAGTTTACATATAGCTGGCTGTGTAATACAAAAAATATGGGAATTCACAAATCCGTCCTGATCATCACAACGGACCAAGTGTCCAAGGAGAATCTCACGCGGGATTGGCCCGAAATAAGTGTTGTAGCGATGAATATGAAGTTACAGGGCGACCAGACGTACAGTAAGGTGGGATACGTTAAAATCATGATTAAGAGAACCGAAATGATTCTTTCATTACTTATGGCAAATATAGAAGTGTTCCTTTTTGAAGTAGATTGTTTATGGTTATCAAACCCTGTGCCAGATTTACAGAAAATGACAGGTTACGATGTACTAGTCAACCCTGTAGCTAGAACAAACAATAGTGTGTTTGCGGGGGGATTTCTGTGGCTATATGTTACAGACAAGGCAAAGGCTTTGTGGAAAAAACTTACAGAAGAGATGATCGCACTTGGGGAGCGAATTAGCAAAAAGGCGGACACCGCAGCAGTTTCTGAAGGGGAAAATGATCAACAATTCTTCTCAAGATTGATCAGAGAAAAGTATGTTGTTTTTTTCTTTTAAATGTTCTCAAATGAAAAAACTATGCTAAATAAACAAAACAAAACCACACATGGAAAATATCTTGACATGTCTTTTCATTCTACCATTTATAAGTTCAATGTAAAGTATTTGATTTTAGCTTTGATATCAGAGATTAGTATTTACATTTGCTGCAGACGTGGGTGATCAGTGAGTTTTGATAATAAATTGAGAGCAATACAAACAATCTTTGTTATAAAGTCAACAAAACCTTTCACTGTAAAAGGTTGTCAGCTTGTTGTTTTTGCACATAATATAGAAGTTTTTATTGGAATATCTGTTGCTGCAATGTAATATGTATTGAATAAAGCCCTTAAAATTAGTTTTGTGTATAGTTTCTCAGGAACTTGGTAACTTCAGGCCCCATGTTCACAAAGTTTTAAGGATGAGGATCAAGATCAGGATCAAATTTAAAAACTAAAATGAGCCGTGTCCCGACAAAGCCAACATAATGGGTTTGCTACCAGCATGGATCAAGACCAGCCTGCGCATCCGCGCAGTCTGATCAGGATCCATGCTGTTCGCTTACAAACCCTATTACAAGTAGAGAAACTGATAGCAAACAGCATGGCTCCTGATCAGACTGCGCGTTATGTTGGTTTTGTCGTGACACGACTCAAATATTCTTCAATAAAACTGGACTTGAAATAGCATTATTATGAAATTTTAGAATAAATTCATGGTTATTTTTTCAAGGTACAGGCACTTTACAGTTGATCCAAATTTTGATCTTGATCCTAAAATTGATCCTCATTTTGATCCTATTATTTTTGTATAATTTTGTTATTTGTTGATTTTATCCCAAAATAGGTTGGTTTCTTTGCAAAAAAGCAATTATTTACATTTCGAATATGTACATGTACCATTCAATTCTAGCATAATACAATCAGTTTTAGTTTTATAAAACAATGAGAATAAAATCAGGATCATTTGATGCTGATCCTGATCTTTTCTGTGTGAACACAGGGTCAGAATTTAGTTTGTGCACAATCAAAGTTAACCTTACTTTTCCGAAATTATAAAAATCATCAAGTTCCCAAATACTGCACTATAGTGATGATTGAGAGATAAAAATTGAGCCGTGTCATGACAAAACCAACATAATGGCTTTGAGACCAGCATGGATCCAGACCAGCCTGCGCAGTCTGATCAGGATCCATGCTGTTCGCTTACAAACTCTATAACAAGTAGAAAAACTGATAGCGAACAGCATGGATCCTGATCAGACTGCGCGGATGCGCAGGCTGGTCTGGATCCATGCTGGTCGCAAAGCCATTATGCTGGTTTTATTGTGACGCGGCTCATTAATATTCTGTCATTTTCAGGTATAAGAACGTGAGCTACAAGATTTTACCGTTGGATATTTATGCTGATGGACAGTGGTATAACTTACCAGAAAACAAACGAAAGGAGTCTCGTCCTGTCATAATCAATAATAACTGGGTTTTAGGTATGTAACATTATGTATCATTTTACCCAAACCATATTTTTTAAAAAAATGCGTGATTATTTTGTTTGGTTTGGTTTTACGGCCCACCAACACAATTTAGGTCACATGGCGCTGAAACAGGAAAGATGAATTTGGCTTACTTCGGTTGTGACAAACTTAAAGCAACACCAGGGTTAAAAACCACCTCACTTGCTGGAGCTTAGAATTCCTAGACTTCAGTAAATTGAACACATTTAGTCACCTCATACGATCAAGCAGGGTTATTGTTTAAACTCAGTAGACACATTTAGAGTACATTTTGAACCTTTACCCTGCTGTCGGCAACAGAAAATACACATGTGACCAGTGCAGGGTCAGCTGGTACGTACATACATGCCATCTTATCATGTTGTGCACTATTTGCTATTTAGTCAATAATGGATGGCTTTGTCAAGATTAAATGATGGACATGTCCACTTAATCTATATTTAGCATGGTAAGTGTTATTCTCAATTTTTATAGATTTATACAACAGAAGAATCAGGGTTTTCATTATTAACCGATCCAAAGTTAAAATCGGTTGTATTTTCAGCCTGTATGTTCAAGTAACACCCTTGACCCTATCTGTTGCCTCAAATAAAATGAAAACCCTGAGAATACAACTGCATGTATGATATTTGACTTAAAAAAATAATAAAATCTTAACATTAAAGCTGCATGCCTCAAGGTGAGCAAAAATATTTCGATAAAATCAAACCTGAGATAGATGTACTAAGATTTTAGGAAAAGTATAAAGATTAAAAATTCTAGTAATAATTTACATGTAATGGCTATTAATGACGATTTTTCAGTATTAATTGTTATATTTCTCAGGGCTGGGAATCAAAACTGCGTCGTATCCTACAAAATGTAAACAAACGCCGCCATCTTGGAACGAAAAACGTATGTTTTTGTTTATAACTCTTTTTGTTGGAAATGACTGAAAACAAGATATATGTATTAACACGCTACACTATTTTCCGCTTCGTTCGGTATATGTTGCTTGCACAACTATTTTGTAAAACAAAAGTTATAGCGAACTTGCAACTCGAAGCGAGGCAGAATTTTTATGAAAATGTGTGGATACGACGCAGTTCATATTGCTTTATCTATCGTATTTGCCTTCAAATCAATTATATATTTGTTTCAGAGTTCACCATAAACTTCGAAATATAATTTTGCATCATTTACTAAAATTTTATTAAAAAGAGATGTTTATTTTCTAAGAAAATAATGATTTTTTACGAAATGATACGACGCAGTTGAAAATAAAATATGATACGACGCAGTTGTATTTTTGGCAGTCTTTTCAACAGGGATAAGTTTGGCAATATATTTCTATTTTATGAATAATCACTTGCGCTAGATAAAATCCCAGATCATTTGCGGTGTAAAGCAATGTTCTGTTGATTATTTAGAATACAATGTGTCATATCCAATATAACATTTAATTTGAAAGTTGACATTGCGGAAGCTTCTTTTCAGTTTAACATGAACATGTTTACCTTATTGATTATAATATCTGAAATAATTTCTTATATTTTCCTGTATGTTCAATATTATCCCTATTTTTTTTCGCAAAAAAAAAAAAATGTAGAAATCTATTAACTCAAATTCATTTTGGCTAGCTACGCTCTAAGTTAACTGTGGTTCTGCATGTTCTGGGTATTGACTGCTTTTTTGTGGTTTCTTTTCAAACTTTCACTCTACACATTAGCTTTACTAGGGGCGAGGACCTCAGGTGCGCCTCTGTGCATTATTTCAGGCAAAGAACCGTCGACATTTTGAAACTAGCTTGATAGGTTTTCCACACAAAAGAATAAAAAGTCCCAGGTGGTTTTCGAATTCATAGCAGTTCAGTTCAAGTGATTTGAATTCAGTAAACATAAACAGCTCGGCCTCGGTCGGACACACCTGTCTGATTTGTTTTTCCAACAAAATTTGTTAACGTCAGCTGTACAAATAAGCAGCTTTTTTATTAACTTCTGACGTGAAGTTTTAAGATTATAAATATTTGAAATAATTATAAAGAGAATAAAATTTAAATTTCTAGTTTCGGTATTAATAGCAGAGAAATTTTCAATGTAAACAGGGGGTAACCCTCTGTGAAGTCATTTTCTGAAACTTTTGTTTAAGTTTTCAGGCAATTCATTATCAAATAAAAATCACACTTTAGTATGAAGGTATGTTAAGATGTCATGTCTCTAGTCTGTTGAAAATTCGATACGATAATCTGACATTTTCTGTTCAATATTGTGAAAACTTAATAATTCTTCAATACTGTTGAAAGATCATGTCTGCCTATATCTGTATCAAATTTATCGGTGCATAGCGTAAAATACCTTTGCAAAACGGACACCTTTTTTACAAAATAATTTGTAGTTGTATCATATGTAATTCGATTTTGAAAAGTTTTTTGATGGAGAAGAATGATACTCAAGTGCAAGTATAGAAAATACATTCCGTAGACATTTCCTCATCGGCGATAAAGAAACGCAGGGGTAAAGTTCCGCGGCGCTGAACATAAAATGACTAAACGGAACGCATAACCTACTTGCAAAAATATATTGTAGCTTAACCATTTATAATATTATTTTAAAAATTTAATGTTCAGTTTCAAATAATAAAGCTCATCTGTCCTCGTCGATTATTAAGAAAATGAATACAATAAAATTGGCACGTAAAAGAAAAAGTAATAACGGAATTGACGGAAATTATTGCTCATTATGTACAAGTAACAACGGTAGGCATGCAATTTGCGCATTCCCGATAGCGAGAGACCTTTTCAAAATTTGTAATTTTTTCTCTTTTTTTAAGAAAAAAGTCATTCCTGATTAATACAGGGTCCAGTGGAGGCTACGTATATGTTAGTGTTCATCCGTGCTGTTCTACAGAAATTAGAAACTTCGACGGGAGCGATAGCGACAGGAGAATGTTTCTAATTTCTGTAGAACAGCACGGATGAATACTAACATATTTAGTGTCAAACTTTATTTGGCCTCATTATCATTCACTTTATTACGTCACTATGCGGTTTTATGGAGTACTATGAAAAATACAAGTCGACTATGGACGTAATTCGATATAGTATCGACTTTTGTACTTCTATGAAAATTAACGCACATAATTTTTAAGAAATACAGCGTTTTCATTGGATGACAAATAAAGTTGGACACTAAACTGGATTAGTGTCCAGCTTTATTTGTTATCCAATGAAAACGCTGTATTTCTTAAAAATTATGTGTGTTAATTTTCATAGAAGAAAAAAAGTCGATACTATATTGAAATCCGTTCATAGTCGCCTTCTGTTTTTCATAGTGCTTCATAGTACCGCGTAGTGACGTAATCAAGGGCCAAATAAAGCTTGACACTAAATATGTTAGTGTTCATCCTTAGCTGTTCTACAGAAATTAGAAACATTCTCCTGTCGCTATCGCTCCCGTCGAAGTTTCTAATTTCTGTAGAACAGCACGGGTGAACACTAACATATACATATTGAATTTTGTATCAAAAATAGTAATCACTCCCATTTCGAACTCACGTGAACAAGTTTAGTAGCATGCTAAGGCAACAGTAGAACACGTTGTCATATGGGTGTGCGATCACGTGTTTCAATGTATATTGCATTTGATACAGCTTTTCGGAATTTGTAGATGATTATGATTAGTACTAAAATGCGACCGAAAAATGCAGCCTTAATAGAATTGTATTACATTTCCATTTTTATGAAACCAATGAGTGACCTCTGTTTTTGACTTAAGTTGTAGACAAGAAATGTTGTAGGACGTTATTGGCATACCTAGCACATAATTTAAATAGTTTAACCAATATTCAGCCTGCAATGAAAATACAACTGCGTCGTATCATATTTTATTTTCAACTGCGTCGTATCATTTCGTAAAAATCATTATTTTCTTGGAAAATAAACATCTCTTTTAAATGAAAGTTTAATAAATGATGCAAAATTATGTTTTGACGTTTATAGTGAACTCTGAAAACGAGTATATAATTGATTTGAAGGAAAAACGATAGATAAAGCAAAATGAACTGCGTCGTATCCACACATTTTCATAAACATTCTGCCCCGCTTCGAGTTGCAAGTTCGCTATAACTTTTGTTTTACAAAGTAGTTGTGCAAGCAACATATACCGAACGAAGCGGAAAATAGTGTAGCGTGTTAATACATATATCTTGTTTTCAGTCATTTCCAACAAAAAGAGTTATAAACAAAAACATACATTTTTCGCTCCAAGATGGCGGCGTTTGTTTACATTTTGTAGGATACGACGCAGTTTTGATTCCCAGCCCTGTTTCTACTGGGTTACTAACGCAGTAAGGGCTATTTTTGCATATTTTGACCTCTTGATGGTTAAATTTACATGGGTTGTAAGTGCAATTGATAAATGTGTAAATTGCATTCTTTTGGCAACTTCACAATATTATACTGTTAAATACATTTTCAAATTTTCACGAAAATTAGCATGAATATTGAGGCATGCTGCTTTATTATAGTTCTGAAGTGTTGTTGATTTACGGAAGTGGAAGAAAAGTGGAAGGAATCTGTCATGACTACTTGAAACACTTAACTAAGTCTGAGTGATCAATTTCCTAAAAAAAAATATAACAGATAATAATATCAAAAAGTTGTAATAAACAATACAATATCGACATTGGGATAAATTTTAAGACTGGGATTTAAACAAAATAAATAAATAAAGACCACTGAGCTCTTGCATTTCAGCTTTATTTAGTTCAACATGTGTCTTGATCATTTAAGTTTAAACTTTATTTATACAACAAATTGTACACAAAATAACATTAATTTTACAAACGTTTCACAATAAAGTAATTATGTCTCCCCCACCTCGGGGGGAGACATATTGTTTTTGCCCTGTCCGTCCGTCAGTCAGTCGATCCGTCCGTCAGTCCGTCCGTCCGTCCATTCTTCGTTTCCGGACGATAACTAGAGTTCCTTTTGACCTACAGCCCTCAAACTTCATAGGATGATTGGTCTTATAGAGCTGATGATCCCTATTGTTTTTGGGGTCAGTAGGTCAAAAGGTCAAGGTCACACTGACCGTTGGTCAATTTCTCGTTTCCGGATGATAACTAGAGTTCCTTTAGACCTACAGACCTCAAACTTCATAGGATGATTGGTCTTATTGAGCAGATGATCCCTATTGTTTTTGGGGTCAGTAGTTCAAAGGTCAAGGTCACAGTGACCGTTGGTCAATTTCTCGTTTCCGGATGATAACTAGAGTTCCTTTTGACCTACAGCCCTCAAACTTCATAGGATGATTGGTCTTATAGAGCAGATGATCCCTATTGTTTTTGGGGTCAGTAGGTCAAAGGTCAAGGTCACAGTGACCGTTGGTCAATTTCTCATTTCCGGATGATAACTAGAGTTCCTTTTGACCTACAACCCTCAAACTGGGGGGAGACATATTGTTTTTGCCCTGTCCGTCCGTGAGTCCGTCCGTCCGTCAGTCCGTCCGTCCATTCTTCGTGAAACGACCATCAAGTGCAATTTCGTTTGACGCCCGCCTGCCATACGCTGATTGAATAACCAGGATTTTCAAAATTGAATACCTGGTTAAAAACAAACAGTTTAGGAAGCATCTTCTCATACAACCTTAACAATAGAAACCATCCATAGACAGCCTTCATTGAAGTGACTACCGGGTATTTACATTATCTTATCTCCATTTCCATTCCTGTTTCCATTCACAGTTATTCTCAGCAGTGGGGGAGACATGCGCTTTTTTACAAAAGCATCCTCTAGTTCAGACTGGATTGGAAAACAAGTAATACAATACTGATATCAATTCCTCTCCAGTAAAAGTAAATTTTCTAGTAAAAGTAAATTTTCTAGTAAAAATAAAGATTCAAAAAATGTTGTGGTTAGATATATCTTCTTTGAATGTATAACTAAGGTAACATATGGAGGAAAGCTAGCAGGAAGGAAGAATATAAGGAGAAATATGATTGAATATATCCGAATGTTGAATACCTAAGATAAACATGTAAAGGAGCTAAGGAGCATAGAGAGGGGCCAAGTGAGAGGCCTGTTTAGTTTAATATAGTAATTAATACAGGATATAAAGTATTGCTGCACTACTTCCTGGTTTTAATAAGTCATCATGCTTTCGTTTTAAACATATTTATTCAAGCTTGATTGTGAAACAAGTTCTTGCAACTTATATTAATCACTTTCGAGTCTGCTTCCTGGAACCAACCAGTACTTGTGTCATATGAAGAAACATGGTTGTGACCCTATTAGGGCTCAAACCCATGATCCCTGGGTTGAGAGGCAGACACTTTAACCACTAGTCCCCCCCCCCACCCCTACCCTTCCCCTCATCATGATTAGCACACAATTACTTTACTAAATAAGTAGGAAACTGAGATATCTTCATAATAACATAGTAAATATGTCTAAAATATATTATGCCAAAAAATTATATTTACCCCCTACTTGAAAAATATCTGATTTTGTTGTACTTTCTCTTTTTTTGCCCCACTTTTTTGAAAAATAGGGAGAGTTATTGTGCTTAACCAAGGCATCAGTGTCTGATACAAAATTGGCTAAGTTTTTGTGTGTAAGTTAATATCTCCAAAACTACTATTTAAAAGGAATGTATTGAAGCTGCAATCACTGATTTGAGTGCATAGTAGGAGGTCACTGTCCAAGGTCCATAACTCTACTACCACTTGATGAAAATAAATCCTGTATTTATACCAAAAAAAAGACTTGAATATCCTCTGTATTATATATGAACTATACAATGTGTTTGGTGTATTATATTGATACTAAACAATTACAAAAAGCAAAAAAACGTTTGATTATCAAATGACCCTATTTTAAGTCAGGGCTGTATGTCAAAGGTGAAAGGATTTCAGTATACATGTTAAAAATAAAATTACCATGAAGAAAGAATTTGATTATCAAGTGACCCTATTTTAAGTCGGGGCTGTATATGTCAAAGGTGAAAGGATTTCAATATAAATGTTAAAAATAAAATCTCGCATAAATTTTCAAATTTTTGACATTTTTTTTGTGTGTGTATTTTCAGGTAACGATGCAAAGATAAGCCGTGCCAAGAAATGGAAACACTGGTTTATAGATGATAACCTCAAATGTGATATGGATCTAGTCTCAAAGACAGTCTATAAATAAAGATGGTAGATGGTGAACAACTTCCACTCATATCACATTCCAGTTAAAGTACATTTGCACATGTTGCTTATGTGTCAAAAGTGAATCTAGTCGAAACATATAGCATTAACTGTTTGAAGTTCACTCCTTGTAACATTCCAAGAACAAATATTTGAGTTTATTACATAAACCACGGCGCAGGAATGTAATAAACCCATTAAATAAAAATGGTATTACACTAGTGTAATAACACTTTAACATGACATCATTTGCGTTATATACAGTTAGAGCCATAAAAAATTGATTTTTTTTTAACTGTTAACCATTTTTATATTGCATATTTGATAAATAGAATATTGTATTTGTGTACACTCATTACTAAGTTTATTGAACTTGTTAAATAAAACAATATTATGCTCGCCAGAGGCTCGCATGATATGATTTTATTCAGCTTGTTCAATAAATTTTGTATTAAATCTGCACTCATTCAATACCCCTCTATAATATGTTATATAAAAGTGAACAATTTAGTGTTATACAAAGGAATATTTGGAGGAATTTGAAACAAATGTCATGTAACATTCCACTTCATAAGATATTGGACAAAATTCTTGTGACATTCCAAATTGCCAAATTATTTTAACATTCCAATGAACATTTATTGTTATATATTTTTTTCACATTGATGTATCTAAATTCCACTAGTTTGATTTTTGTGACATTCCAAAAAAAAATTTTTTGGACATTTTATTTCACTGCATTAAGTGATTCCATATTGAATAAGGGGATATGCTACCAGTTTGATGGTTGTTTGTGACATTCTGAAAATTTACTTTGTAACAGGATAATATTCCATTGGCTTGATAATTGTGACATTCTGATAAGTACTTTAACAGTTAACAGGTAATGTTTCATTGACTGTAACATTCTGATTAATTGAATTTTAAACAGTATAATATATATTAATGGCTACATTGTGAAATTCCAATGAATTTGTATTTTAACAAAAAATATTCCATTAACTTGAATGTGACATTCCAATTCTAATGAATTGTTTTTTTATTTAAAAAAAAATCCAGAGGCTTAAGTATGATATTCCAATGTATTGTAGATTTTTAACAGGAAAATATCATACAGGGCACTTGGTAGTTATGTTGGATGAATTTATATTTTTTTAACAGTACAATGTTTATACATGTAAAATTATATCTTTATTTCCCGAGAGGGTCTTCCACCAAAGCTTTTTAAGGCCAAGTATGTTTCCTTGCCCAGTGGTGTTATATATACATGTATATAGGTAAAAATTTTGCCAAAGTCCTTTGATGTTATACTAAATTGGTATTGGGACTTGTTTATGCAATATCTAGTCAATACTTGTTACCACCGCACAATGCTGCCTGCCAAAACACAAACAAACTATATATACTTACATTTTAGTCATACATACCATTGCTAGTCATTCCTTTACCCATATTCTTGTCTCTTTATTTTGCTTGGTTTCAAAGTCCCACTGAAGCTTAATTGGTCATTGACAAAATGACTTTGTTTGTTATACATGTATTCAGCTTTTAAAATGCCATACAATCAGTGAAAAGGTATTAAATGCATTAAGTCATGTTTTAACATTATTTTAACTTCTATTTTTAAAAATATTTTTATCACATTTTTCTAGTCATGATAAGAAGTTGTTTTGTTTTTAAGGGGGGTGGGGGGAGGAACAGCTCAATCAGCATTTTTTTAAACCAATCAAATTAGCCAATTTCAGCATTTAGAATTGTATTTGTCAGTTCACTATGTGGTGCTGTTCAAAATGTTCCATTTGTATTTTTATATATATATAATTACTATATTTTAATTGTTAATATGTTTACTGTTGTATTACTATAAATATGATCACTGATCTATTTTTTCTCTAAATTATGGTTATAAATATGTACATTAGTTGTTGTATACAATAAAATGTGGTCAGATTTTAATTTTCATTCACAAAACTGTTAGATATCATCACATGATGTGTCTTATGCATGACTAAAGTGGATTGCAACAAGTTCAAGGTCACTTGTAAAGGTTAATATAGGAGTTATTTTATATGTTGTTTTCAGATTTTGTTAGTGTGCATGTTAGTGAGTCATCATTGTGTTCATATCATTTAGCAAGGCCATACCAAACTCCTCACACTAATTACCTCCCTTGGCAGAATTGTAATCACTGCCTTCACATGATGATGGAAGTCACATGACGTAATGTCGAAATTCAAATGTAAATATCGACCGTTACATAGAAAATCTAACATCATTTTTCTCTTTCTGTTTTATTTTTAACTTTTTGTACCTTCGTCCATTATATTTTATCAAAAAATTATCAAAAGTGTACAAAATAATGAAAAATAAATTAAAAAGCTAAAAAAGATAAATATCCAAATATTGATATTTCAATGTTTGTGATGGCAGAGATCTCTGTACTTATAAGGGGAGATCACTGCGTAGGAGATTGAGGCCATATATGTTCTTCTGTCATAGTTCTATCTCAAAATAGTGTGAACATGCTCCATTTTGGGTGCATTAATATTTGCAGAAGCACAGGGATGAATTTTTAAAGCGCAAACCTGTAGGTTTAGAGATTATTATATCTCTTAGCGCTTCTAAGTTGTTAATGCACGAAAAAAAAGATGCATTAGTGCTGTTCTTGCATAGAAATTTGCATTTAATTTGGTAATTTCGCATTTTGTTATTTGTTTTGCACATATACATGTAAAGAAACCAGCTTCGTCATGCTTTTCGTATGCTAGAACAATGTCATTTGACTATGATGTTTTGATAATGAAACTACTGGGGCTATTATTTTACTACCCTGTTTTTACATGGAGGCCCCGTGTCATGCATATTTAAAAAATCTGCAACAATGGCCAGTACTCTCATGATGCTTTTAAGAAATTTCTTCTCTGTTAATGTACAGCTGCATGCACACTTTTTATGCAAGAATATATAATAAAATTATTATGCTTAAACTTGATTAAATTGTGGCCTGTATGTAAATAATTCCAATTTTATATTTTAAATTTAAGCAATTAAGGCCTGTTATGGCATTCTTGCCCAATGTTTTATCTTCTGTTTTATTTTTAAAAGGTATGTAATTATGAATATTTATGTTTTATAACTACTTATAATGTTTTGACAATATTTTTTATGTTTTAGATATTTATCCTAAGGTGATATCAAAAATCATATTGTTGTTAAATATCTTATCTAAATATTGTGCCTTTTGATATCAAATTTTTTTTTAATTAATCAAAATTGTGATCTTTAAATTACATGTATATCAATTGTCTTAAAACTACATGTAATACACTACGGAACTTGGCAAAGACGGGTTTTTAGCTCGACTTTTCTATGAAAAGGGGAGCTATCCTACTCGCCCCGGCGTCGGCGTTGGCGTCACACCTTGGTTAAGTTTTTCGTACCACCCCACTTTATTTCAGAAGTATTACAAGTATGGCTTTGAAACTTACCATACTTGTTCACCATCATAACCTCCATCTACAGACAAGAGTACATAACTCTGTCAAGGTTTTTGACAGAATTATGGCCCTTTTTTGACTTAGAAAGTGTATTGAGCTTGGTTAAGTTTTTTGTACCACCTCACTTTATTTCAAAACCATTGGAGGTATTGCTTTGAAACTGACCATACTTGTTTACCATCACGACCTTCATCAACAGACAAGAGGACATAACTCTGTCAAGGTTTTTGACAGAATTATGCCCCTTTTTGACTTAGAAAATACATTGAATATGGGTAAAATCCACTTATTGCCTTAACCCTTTGAGATATTGCTTTGAAACTTTTAATGCTATTTCACATCATTACCCCCATCTGTACGCAAGAGAAGGTAACTCTGTCAAGGATTTGTTTTAAAAATTAAGGCCTTTTATCGACTTAGAATCTTGGTTAAGTTTTTAGCATGACATTAAATAATGAATTGAACTTCCTTCATGTAATTCAAATATCAGTTTACAACGCATTATCTACATAGTGGACCCACGAAAAGTAACCAGTCACCCACAGCCTGTGTGAAAGAGATCCACTTGTGACCAACTGACAACATCTAAAAAAGCTTGATAAAATTTATCTATTACTTGTATTATAAGGTAACTATAATACTTTCACATACAAAGTCAAATCTATATATTATGCTGATTGTACAAAAATATACTGCTTCCTTGGCATAGATTTCTTGAAAAATTATGTTATTATGTCATTTACCAAGGTGTTCTGAGTGACGTAAAAATACCTTATTCTCTCAAAGTGGGTTTAATACTATTAAATTTATTTAAGGCTCAACTCAGTTTTTTTTTCTTTCTTACCAGCCCTCTTTTGACTTAAACATTTCAAACTTTGCTGCAGTGTTCAAGGGTATCACACAATTCAGTAAAATAATTCTTCACTAAATATCTTAATGCTCATGGCCATTGTTCACTTTAAAAATACAGAGATTCTTGTATTGCCTTTTACTGCAAAAACTTTTTTTATTGGCAAGCAATAAAAAAGTCGAGCGCGCTGTCTTACGGACAGCTCTTGTCCTATGTAATCCTGAGGTGCAAACAAACTTTTACAGTTACAGCTGGGTAAATGTATAATTGATAAAAAGTGTGATTTGTTGACCAGTGTATTGTTAACAAAAGTGCACCATTAAATTATTATAGTTTGTTTTTTACCGCAGAATAAAATGGGAAAATCTCTCATTTGCTGAGTTTCGGATAACATCTTTTGCCTTAGATTTTAACAGAATTGTTTTTGTCTTAAGCTTATTTTAATTATTTAATTATTAGATATCTAAATATTTTATTCATTTTGAGTGCCTTTGATGTTATCATTTGAAGCTGTTTGGCTTTACATGTAAGTCAAAATCAAATACCTTTATTTTGTATTCAAACTTTTATATTTGTTGGCTTATATTGTATTAATTTTTAAGCTTTAATTACTTATATATCAAAACAGTTACTGTAATATCAATTTGAGTGCCTTAGATTTTATCAAAAGTGTTATCCTTCAGGTATTTCAAAATTATGTGCCTTTGATGTCATCAAAATTCCATGTACACAAAATTATGTGCCTTTGATGTCATCAAAATTCCATGTACATTTAAAGGCCCATTATGTCCTAGAAATACTTTCATTTTTATTTCTCAATAGCCTTTTATTTGTGCCCAGTGTTAAGTTTTCAAAACGTTTATCATTGTTCAGGTATCTGAAACATATTGATTGGATATTATTTGTTTTTTTTAACCAATAGCATGAAAGCTTACATACTTTGACACAATGGACTATAATTTCATAGTTTATATTTATGCTCGCCAGTTAAAAGCATTGGTTTCCCCGTAATTCTGTATTCAAAGCTTTTGTGCTCCTTAGCCTTTTTTTTTCAAAATAAATTAACATAAAAAGAACTTTGAAATGTAATCAATGGGACTCAGGTGAATAATTCAGGGCCATCATGGCCCTCTTGTTTATAAAATGTTACATATCATATATTGTGTAAATAGTTTGTTATAAATATATATATAGAATCTGTATACTATTTATTATTCAATAAATATTTATTATTGTATTACAAGTTTTAGTAGTGATAAATAAAATTTTGTTTTTTACAGTTCAATAAATAAAACTACTGATGTTATTTATTACCTGGCTAAATTTCACATTGTTCACCTAATCTCCTAAATTAGCTTCCATTACGTTTTTCTGGTGTTTTTTTTCAAATGTTGTTTTTATGCTAGGTCATAGCTACAGTCTTGCTAATTTTAGTTATAATATTTCTTTACTCCTTGGAGCATTTAGTTGATGTCCTTTTGTTCTCCCTTCTCACTTAACCTTTTCCTATAATTCATTAATTTATTGCCTCACTCAAGGTATGCAACTCTTGGATAGAGTGGAAAGTCAGGGGAGACAACTCAGGTGATATTGTGTGCCTTATTTTGGATTTGTTTTTTTGCATATCAGACTGGTGTTTCCATTAGTTTTACCCATGGCGGAAATTTCCTCTGGCATGGGGGGGGGGGGGGGGCAAATTAGTTAAGTGCTATACTAGGGCATGCTTAGGATGACCTAATTTCGCCTATTGTAAGAAAATACTAACAGGCGTTATGACATAACTTTCCATGGAAAAAAGTTATTTAGGTAAAAAATTTGAAATAAGATGGAATAGGGTAAAATATGCAAGAAAAAAATATCTCGACATGTTTGAAGTTTGCAGCATGGAGGGGGGGGAGGGGGGTCTCAGGACGGATATTCCGATCCGAACAGCAACATGACAGTTGCTATTATTCTGCTACCTCTTTAGAGAAACATTTTGCTCAGAATGTTTTTCTTTACATATTCGTTTTTTTTAAATGATGAATGCACTGAAGATATATCAACTAAAATAACATAAAGATAAAAATTCCCTATAATTAAGGCCAGTATTTGCTTAGTTTTGTACAGTTTTCAAAATACATGTATGCATATCATTGAAAAATATGTGTAAAAAGTTCCAAGATTTTAGTTAAGATTTTAAGAATTTTATGCTTCTAGTCAAGATCTTCCTTTTACAAGGAGTTTATTTTGATAATTGAGCCGCGTCATGACAAAATCAACATAATGGGTTTGCGACCAGCATGGATCCAGACCAGCCTGCGCATCCGCACAGTCTGATCAGGATCCATGCTGTTCGCTATCAGTTTCTCTACTTGTAATAGAGTTGGTAAGCCCTGATCAGACTGTGCGGATGCGCAGGCTGATCTGGATCCATGCTGGTCGCAAACGCAATACGTTGGTTTAGTCGTGACACGGCTCAATTGTTGTTTTTATATACATTGTAATACTAAATAGTCCTAGAAATAGTTCTTCAGTAAATGTATGACTGTTTAAAAGTATATGTCAAACTTTACTAGGGTATAAGGGTCAAATATCAACAGTTCAATGAATATTTTTGTTAACATTTTTTCATGTTTTGTTAAGAAATAATGTTTTTCTTATATTCTAGTGTATAGATATTTAAATACTTGCTAACATGCCTAAATTATATGCTTTGTGCACATTCCAGTATTTATGATTAATAATAAATATGTGAAAAATAAATTGTTGTCAATTGATGTTATAAGCTCATTGTATATTGCAATACCTTCAAACAACATTTTTTTGTTGTTGTTTTTTTTGGTTGGGTTTTATCTTGCATCAACAGTATAAGTCATATGGTGACTTTCAAGCTTTACTGAAGAAGGAAGACGTCTGGTGCCCTTATGTGCATTATTCAAGTAACTGAGTAAAACCACAAGGTTCTGTAAGCTAGTTAGATAAAGATAATCCAAGATGCTGGTGTGGCATGAACCTACAGCGGTGAGAGGCAAGGGGTTTGAAGTCAACCACCTTAACTATTCAGCCACAAACACCTTTCAGACATCAGGGTTAACCAGGCCCTGGTTAATACCAAGGTTGTCTTCATGTATTGTTAAAGTTTCTTATGGCAATTAATATACCTGTGGATTTTTGCATGGCATCTTCAAAAAGTATCAGGCTTGAATTCATGAACAAGTATTAAGTTAAACTTTCCTGAAAACTTCACGGCTTACCATGTTTATGCCTGTACTTTCTGTAGTTAAAAGTTGTACCATGTTAGACCCTCCTATAACAGAAAACAAGTCACATGCACATGGCTGTTCAATGCAATGGGCTCGATGCCTTGATGCCTCTTTACTACAAAAAAGTAAAACTTCATGCCCATTGCTCAACATTAAAATAGAGGAGAGCTGAATTCTCCACCACTCAAGTACTTAATAAGGCCAAATTCATTGCATTGTGACCTACATGGGCTTAAAAAGCCCAGACATTTAACTTCTTTTTTGCAGGCTATAAAGAAATAAAAGTTTTATAATGACTATCACTTCAAAATGTATCAGTATAAAACAAGACCTGTCTATAAACAGCACGCTAAACTTTTCTCAGAGCTGGATAGTCGAAAAAGGCAACATAAAAATTTAGAGGCATTTAAATGAATAGATCTCAAAATGCTGTTTTGAAGAAGACGTAATAACGTTGATATGATGCAAGATGAAAACACTGAAATACTTAAGTTTGAAACAACACAGAATAGTTTTTCTGACTGAAATAACAGATGAAGGCTGCTTGAAATTTTTTTAGGTTTATCTGCACTTTTAAAACAGTGTCCTTTTATGACAATAAACATGTATTTAGTTTGAAGTAAATAGCTTTTATACTTTAGACAAGAGCACCGCATAGGCGTGGCAATATACGCCCAAATGCAAATTTGTTTTCAGTAAATTAATTAAAGTATAATCAATAATAATTTTTAAACAGAGAAGATACACATTTATAATACTTGTCAAAAACATGTTTTATTTCAGTTATCAATATTAAGATCTATATCGATACATGCCAAAGAAACATGAATACTTAGTGGTAATTATATATGCCACAGCTTTTAAAGTGACATTATGCTCATATTTTATTAGTCTAGTTGAGCTGAACTGACTACATAAGTCAAAATATTGACTGTTAAAATGGTGACTGACCAACAGGTCTTATTGGAAAATGTTTTTGATAAACATTAAAATCTGTCTAAAATATAAAAAGACTGCCCCAGTCTTTTTATGAAATGAACGTTACAGGTAAATTATTACGGGTATTTACAAAAAAATTGTTTGGATCCATGCGTTGTTTATTGTTAATGTTAAATAATTGCTTTAATTAAAGGGATTTATGGCAAAATGAACACTTATTTTGACTATCACCTGTTCACTCATTTATACACTTGGATGGGCGTAATGTCACTTTAATGTGGAGTACAGACTACAGACATGTCACCAGTCATGCCCTTAAGAAGCTTATTTTGAAGCTCAGAGTGGTGATAATTTATCTCCTTGCAATTGCCACAGGGTATATATACTGACTGAAACAACAATAATGTTGGTTTTGAAATGATAAAAATTCAAAGAAATATATAAATAATACTATATTAGAAATTCAAAAGCACAAGACTTATTAAGTGAATTTACATATCTAAAGTAAGTAAAGTAACATCAGTTTCAATTAATAAGATTTATTTCAAAGAATTAAACCATATAAACCTATAAAAGCTCCTCAAATATTATAAACGTCTTTCCATCGGTTCAAAAGATACAGACTGGGCACGAAAACTCATATATAATTCTATATAAATCAATTAAGGCCAATTTTGATCTTAGGAAGTCCGACCTTGTGTTCTGCACACCTTAATGTAAGTAATATTTCTGCCAAAAAATTTTTATTTTGTTTCTATCGGTTCAAAAGATACAGAGCGGACACAAAATTTTGATATTGATACAAAATGACTAAGTGTGACCTTGACCAGAGAAAAGTCAAATCTGCCCTCTGCACATCATTTCATTATGATAACATTTCTGCCAAGTAGTTTCAACTTCTTTCCACCGGTTCAAAAGATACAGACCGGACATGAAAAATCCTTTGTAAGTCTATATAAATCAATTAATCCTTAGGGCAGGGCCAACTTTGATCATAGGAAGTCCGAACTTGTGTACTGCACACTGTCTCAATTTAAGTAATATTTCTCCCAAAATTTTTTTTAATTTCTTTCCACCGGTTCAAAAGATACAGTGGACACAAAATTTTGATATTGATACAAAATGACTAAGTGTGACCTTGACCTGAGAAAAGTCAAATCTGCACTTTGCACATCATTCCATTATGATAACATTTCTGCCAAGTAGTTTCAATTTCCTTCAACCGGTTCAAGAAATACAGACTGGACAAGAAAACCTGCTAACAGACGGACAGATAACTCAAAATTCTTTCTGGCTTACACAAATGGACCTTAAACACTCAGCCCCTGTTAACCCTTCTACATTAATGTAACTTCCTCACAACAAACACATAGATGTTATTTCATTTTTTTATTATTATTTTTTTGTCATATTGATATACATTTATTTAAATACTAGACAGTAAAATACAGCCTTAGGAACAAACAAAAAAACAACAACATATCACTTTAACAATTATAGTAAAACTGTAAAAAAACACACCCACTTGAGATTAGTACATGGGACGGATATAGAAATGAGCCGTGTCACCACAAAACCAAAATAATGGGTTTGCGACCAGCATGAATCCAGACCAGCCTGCGCAGTCCGATCAGGATCCATGCTGTTCGCTTCCCAACCCTATAGTAAGTAGAGAAACTGATAGCGAATTCTTTTTTTTTTTTTTTTTCACTTTACGCCTTTTTTAACAGTATTTCAGTCATATAGGCGGGTAGTTCCCTAACCATCGTTCCTGGAGAGTTACACCAGTACTAGACAACCTTCCTCCGCGCTAAACTACCAAAGCATCTCCCGGGGATCTAACCCACGCCAGAGAGGTAACTGGATTAGAAGTCATCGACTCTGATAGCAAATAGCATGGATCCTGATCAGACTGCGCTGATGCACAGGCTGGTCTGGATCCATGCTGGTCGCAAACCCATTATGTTGGTTTTGTCATGAAGCGGCTCAAATGTTAAAACTACCATTTACATAGAGGACAATATAATTATAAAGTTGGTTTCGAAATGGTTTTCACGTAATACAGGAAATTGACATACAGGAAACTAAATAACAAAGATGTTAGTCTTTGCAACGAAAAAGTTAAATATATTCACTTTCACTTCTAATTGCACTTATGTGTGACAAGAATGATGTACTTTTGGAAAGCTTAACATTAATCATGTAGTTAATTGAATGTGTGAACTTTAATATTAGTAAAAAATCTAATGTATTTGACTTAGAATACATGAATGTTAGGCCTATTTTACATATACAATAAATGGAGATGTTGTCATGGTTTTATACTCAAAATTGAACAATGATAGATTTAAAGATTTACAAGTTTGTGTAAAATCATGAAGAATAAAAAAATATTTAAAAAATTGACAAGACTTCTAAAATAACATATGTTATCTTCATTAAATTCCGATCAAACAGAAATTGAGGGTTGAATGCAAAACTGTTGTAAGTCCTTCTTTATTTCATATCAGTTACTGCAGTTTTGCGGTCAATCCTAAAGCTGTATAAAATCTTCCTACAAAATTTAGACTTTTCCTGACAGACATTGTTTGACAGCTGTTTTTCATGCAGATTTTAAAGGGACTACTGAGGTTTTTTGACAGGACTTGAAATAATTTTTTGAGAATAATGTCCAATTTGATCAAGCTCTAGACAGATAACTTGTGTGAAAAATTATAACTCATTCACTTACTAAGTTTTCCCAGAAAAATTATACAAATTGTGCAAAAATGACTCAAAATTGATTAAAATTTAAATCCGACAAAAAATAGCATTAAAAAGAAACGATTTTCATTTCATTTCTAAGAAAAAATCTTAATTATCTTTTCCATATCTTTCAATGTTAACTGCTATTCTAGGGAAGAAACTCAAATTTTAAGTTTTCAGGCTTTTTGACCTCAGTGGAGTTCCTTTAACTTATCTCAACAGTCAATCTACAGTGCACCTGACTAGCTTTACTGGATAACTGACCAGTAATTTCCAATTTCTCCACATATGACCGACCATGGTGGTTTCGGATCCTAAAAAGCTTTCAGTTGATTGGGTTCATTTTTTTTACAGCTCTTTATAGCTCCATACATGTTAATCAATTTCAGAAGAACATAGATCACACAGTTACTGATGTGAATGATATAATTTTTCTTTTTTTTTGTCCTGCAATTTCTATGTAAATAAGATCTGAGACATAAATTCCTCTATTAGGGAGTAAAGTCATCTGAACTAGCCACAATGATTTATGACAAATCAAAATCATCAGCCAACAAGTCTTTCTACTTTCTCAGCAATTCATATAAAAAAGATTACATATCAAAGTATTTTTTATATAGCTGCCATGTCTTGTAACAAATTGAATATTTTAACCAAATTTACATTATCTCTCTATCTGATGAACAACTTCGAAATCTGGCTTGCAAATTTTAACCATTTTTTCAATAATTCCATCAAGTTCAGTAGGCATGGTAACCACAAGGAAAACGTTTGTTCAGACACTTATTTTTCAAAAAAGACAATCATAGCAATGTTCCTTTATGGTTGATAGAAGAAAATTTTCAGATGTGGTGAAACTTGGTAGATGGAAGATCTTAAAACAGGCAATGTCAAAAACTTGTTCCCAGCACTTTGTGCTATTGTAAATGATGTAAACACAAAAAAGAATGTTATTTCATACACTTAAAGTGTCTTAAATATTCAAAATATCAGTTATTCAACAATTTCAACTGGCCAAGAATTTTTAAATCCTATAATCTGTAGAAAAACTTTCTAATATCAGCTTCAACCCTCCATATATCATTTTTTTTATTTGATCTTTGACCACTCTTGAATGACCCTGTGACCTTCAGCTTGAACGACCTTGTAGTATATGTATGAGTTTGCTACAGTGATTGAGTACAGCATTAGAACTGGTATGTCCTCGACTACTTTGGAGACTGGCTGATAATACACTGTTTGACCTTGGGGTTGCTGATGAAGGTCGAGGGGTCGCCGAGGTCAACTCAGAGAGCTTCTCAACTGTTTTTGAAGTTGACATTTCCTGAAACATCAAGTAAAGGATGATTTTGTATTTCATCAAACATATGCAATTAAACTATTATAAGCAAAAAACAAAACAAAATTTAAACTATGAAAATATTCAAAGCACATTTCAACTGTGAAGGTCATTACAACTCTCCAAGCTGATGACTTCAGTTGCCCCTCTGTGCATTATTTCAAGCATCAGCAGGCACCTGGTTTCATTTCTACATATTTCTGAAGCTAGCTACCCTCAAAATCCTCTACTTTAGCTGATTACCTCCTAGCCCTCCACTATCTGACACAAGATGATTAAGATATGTATCTTACCTTTTTGAGATCTTCTTGTTTGGGGACCAAAGTGCGTGAACGGAGGGCCCTGATTTGAACACTGGGGACTGTCTGGCTCTGTATACACCAAAACTTGTAATTTTTACAAATTAATACTTCATTATTGTTTCCCTTCTTTTTCATTATCAAACTACGGTATGCCTACAACAACCTCCCTGCCTGGGAAATCTAACAAACTTCAAACTTAATAAATCATTAAATGCAACAGTTAAAGGATACACTGGGTACATAAAGCCAGGAATATATTGAATGAGTGCAGTTTAATACTTTAAATTTATTGGGAATGAGTTGGATAAATTCATATTATCGAAGCCCCTGGAGAGCCTTATAATATTTTGTTTTATTCAACTTCGTTTTCAATAAATTTAGTTTTGAATCTACATGAATATTTAATATTCTGTTTTATTCACATTATAATAAAACAAATTATTGGTTTGTAAAAACCATGTATATGCCCCCTACAGCAGCCAATAAGTCATGTGATAAGGTTATTTTTGCATGACTTCTGACCCAGTGATCCCCAAACAATTAATAAAAGGGTTAATCAAGTATCTACTGGTCATGACCTTAACCCTTTGACCCCTTGACCCAAAACTCAATAGGGGGTCAATCTGCTGTCAAACGACCAATCAATTTTACAAAGGGTTTGAAGTTCCCAGGCCTAAAACGTTTTTTTAGTTAATTGATCGGGAACCGTTTTAAATACAAGGTCAAATAGGTTGGGGGGACCTTGGACCTTTTGACCCCCTTGACCCCAAAATCAATTTTAGGTCAATCTGCTGGTCATTGACCAATCACCATACCATGTTTTTGAAGTTTCCTAGGCCCAAAAGGGGTTCTTTAAGTTATTGATTTGAAAGCATTTTTTACCTACAAGGTCAATGTGAACCTTGCCCTTTGACCCCCTTAACCCCAATATCAATAGGAGTCATCTACTGGTCATGACCAATCACCATACCAAAAAGTTTGAAGTTCCTAGGCCTAAGGGTTCTTTAGTTATTGATCGGAACCATTTTACCTAAGAAGGTAAATGTGACCTTGACCTTTGACCCCTTTTGACCCCAAAATCAATAGGGGTCATCTACTGATCATGACCAATCACCATATCAAGTTTGAAAAGTCCCTATGCCTAAGGGTTCTTTCGTTATTGATCGGAAACCGTTTTTTAACCTACAAAGTCAATGTGACCTTGAACTTTGACCCCTTAACCCCAAAATCAATAGGGGTCATTTGCCTGGTCATGACCAATCACAAATACCAAGTTTGAAAGTTCCTAGGCCTAAGGGGCTTCTTTTTGTTATTGATCAGAAACCGTTTTTGACCCAAGAGGTCAATGTGACCTTTGACCTTTGACCCCCTTGACCCCAAAATCAATAGGGGTCATCTACTGATCATGACCAAATCACCATACCAAGTTTTTGAAGTTCCTAGGCCCTTAAAGTTTGCTTTAGTTATTGATTGGAAACCGTTTTTGCTACAAGGTCAATGTGACCTTATGACCTTTTGACCCGAAAAATCAATAGGGGTCATCTACTGGTCATGACAATCACCATACCAAGTTTGAAATCCGTTCCATAGGCCTTAAGGTTTCTTTAGTTATTGATCGGAAAAACGTTTTGCTTACAAGGTCAATGGACCCCTTGACCTTTGACCCCTTTTGACCCCAAAATCAATAGGGGTCATCTACTGGTCCATGACCAATCACCATACCAAGTTGAAGTTCCTAGGGCCTAAGGGTTCTTTTAGTTATCACTCGGAAACCATTTGGTCTACGGACCGACGGACCGACAAGTGCAAAGCAATATACCCCCTTTTCTTCGAAATGGGGGCATAATAAGAACAGTAAACTGTTAAAATGAGTAATTTTCAATGACGTGCCTATAGTGTAACACTAACATTAGTGCACTTTAACGCTATGTTTCTATATGGCGCAAATAACGTCACATCAAAGTGTTATTACACTACTGGTAGTGTAATATCATTTTTATTAAATGGCTTTATTACACTCCTGCGCCGCAGTTTATGTGATAAAAAGATGAATTTAGAGTACAACTAGCATGGTTTGACACTCTGTCTAACTTAAGATTTTGTTAGATTGTTTTCTATCTGATTTCACCTTAGTTACCTACCTTTGAATAACTTTGCATTTTTTCAATTGGAAAGATAACGTCCCTGAATGAAGACCAAGGTTTCCTAATGCACCTATAATACACAAGGAACATATATATATAACATGATGTTTTTTATTGTTGTTGTTTTTTTAAACTGGGTTTTACATCGCAACACAGTATAGGTCATATTGCAACTTTCCAGCTTTACTGGTGGAGGAACACCTCAGCTGCCCCTCTGTACATTATATCAGGCACAAACAGGCACCTGAGTAGAACCACCAACATTCCGTAAGCTAGCTTAATAGAGAACTGTATTGTTTTTTTTCACTGATCATATTGTCACCCACAAACCAGTATCTTGGTGGAAGCATATCAACCTTTGGTAAAATAGATTATTAGCTTTCCAGCACGGTCTTACAGTTATTTTCAAGCTCTACTAGTGGTAAAAGACCTCAGATGCCCCATATTTCAGGCACAAGCAGGTAAGTGAAAGAATCTAAAGCTCATGATGAGATTGGAATCCGTGGCTAGGAGCAAGTCATTTGAAGTCGCAAACATTTACAACTTGGTTACAGAGGCCTCTCAGCAGATTCACAATCAACCATTTACCGCAGACAAGCATCCCAATCAAATCTTACTTTAACAAATAAAACTTACATTCTAACAAATAAAAAGAAGTGCAAGTGAACTTACATGCGGCATTCACCCTGGTTTTAGAAACTGGATCTTTCAATAACTCTACTAATTGTGGAATGCTTGTTTTTAACTTCACATACAAGCTGTCGTTATGGAATGCTGCATTTCCCACTGCGTAACTCGCCCCCTGGTGGACAAATCAGATGTAAATTATAATAATGGTCTGCATGCAAACTAAATATGTTTGAAGAATTATATTCCCTTTTTTAATTTTTTCATCATTGTTCAATAAAACAAATCCTTTTCAAAGCTTTTTACATTAAATCTTCAGAATATGTTTGATGTATGTATATCCAATACCATAATTCTAAAATTATACTCATTGTCTGGGAATCAGTTGTCACACCATTTAAGTTGTTTTCCCTGTATATGATTTACATACCATATTTCTTTAATTCTTTTTTTATATAGAAATTTACTTTAACGACAAGCAAGCAGAGCAAAGAACATAACTGATATCATGAACAAACACAATAGCCAATAGGACCACAATGGAAATAAGAGCTTTTTTGCCCTTTTTTGTGTTATCCTTGATTTTGGTGAGCATGTCATAGTTTTCTTGTATGTGACATAGTATTTAATAATGCTCATTATTTTATCCTATGTTATATTGTCAACTATGTATATGCTTCCTTTGACGAAATAAATCAATCTATCTATCTGTGCCGGAATATTAATATATAAGCAGATTCAAAATTAAACAGGCTTTGCTGCAACTGTTTGACCCTCTGAAATGTAAGGCAATGTCCCTACTGGTCAATAAGCAATACACTTTGTGGCTGACAAGATGTTTAACATGGTTTAATAACAAAAAGGTGATTTTTTTTAGAAATGATACAATTCAATTCAATTCTTTAACTTAAAAATTTCCATTTAGTTAGAAAATAAATCAGGTTTGCCTGACCAAAACCCAGACAATTTTTTTACCAGGACAGTTTCACTTAGCATGTTAAAAATGTTTATAATCGTATATTCAGAAATACCTTTCTGACATTTTGATCCTCGTCTTTGAGACAGCTGATCAAACCTTCAAACAGTTTCTCCCGCTGTTTCAGGAATGTATACATGTGAGCATTATGTTTCATGAGATTACCTATCAAACTACATGTCCGTGATTTTACTGATGATGAATGATGGTTGATCAATGTGCTCAGTTTGTCCGGATCACCTGAAAAAAAAATAAGATAAGGTACAAAATTTATTTATCACATAAGCTACAGTGCAGGAGTTTAATAAAGCCAAGCAATAAAAAACAATATTACACTAATGTAATAGCACATTGACATGACGTCATTTGCATTTTATACAAATCTAGCATAAAAGAGGCCAAACGTGTTACACTATAGGTTTGTCAATTAAAAATGCCTCTCTTTAGCTGTAAATTTTGAATATGTGATAAATAGAATATCATATTCATGTAGATTCAATACTAAATTTATTGAACTTGTTCAATTAATTTAGTATTAAACCTACACTCATTCAATATCCTCTATGTATTTTATATATTTCACATGCAATGTCAATTTTCATTGGCTAATCTGGTTCACCATTGTAAGTTTTAGTGTTACACATATGAACCTCGTCTCTTGGTCAAAGTTCAAGGTCACACTTAAAGGCCAGAGGAATGCACTTGTCCAAAGTGAAACTTCTGCATGCATTGAGAGATAAAACTGAAAATCAGTTTTTTAAAAAAAGTCTTATGCAACAGACATTGAAAGCTTAACTTGTCAACAGATCTTAATTTCAAATTTTATTTTGTCTATAATAATGAATTTCTAAATTTCAATTTTTATTCAGGATTTATTTTAGTTTTGTGTAGGAAGCTATTAACTCATAGACAAACTCTATAGAATCTGTTCCTGGAACTAACCAGTTCTGAGCAACAAGTATAAAGATTCTTGCTCAAAGAAACAAACACTTGCCCCTAACAGGAAATTAACCCACACGGCTTAACATCCTTAGATTACTAGTCTGACTTAGTTAACCATCTGACATGAAGTGGCTCTGTGGCCAAGTGGTTAATGCGATGGACTAGTACTCTAATAATTGCTGACCGCGTGGATTCAAACCCAGTCAGGAGCAAGACATTGTTTCCTTGAGCAAGAAACTTTACATTCATTGCTTAGTACTGGTTGGTTCCAGAGTGCTTCAATCAGCTTATAGCTTCCAACACGAATGAACTAAAATAAATTTGTATAAACTTAAACTAACCATCTGACCAAAACCAAAAACAACACAAAATATTGACACAACATGGACATACCTTTATTTGATTGTATGACTGACTTTACCAGGGTGGCATGTTGAGCAGATGTTCGGACAAGGTGATTACATAAAGATACAGTATCACAGACAACAGACACGGGGCTTGCTGGTGATATACAGGTACTGAGAAATGACAAGAACTGAAATACAAACAATATGTCACTGTTAGATTATGTTTTAAGTTTCAAAATAAATTATTTACTAAGTCACAAGTGTGTCATAATTAAGTTTTAAGTCACACTGTATTGGTTGGTTTAGGCACACCAATACTGCCAAATAGCTTCCTTCCTGCTTATATACGCAGAAAAAAAAATTCTACGATCTTTTTTCATACAACAAAGTATATATTGTCACCTTAGTGCAATTACTGGTTAACTCAGGACTAAACCTGTTACTGCACTAAGGTGACAATATGCCGATATCCATGTAGAACCATTGACATTTCAATATATTCATTCTTTTACATAATTTTATAACATACATTTTACATTTTGCCTCACGTTTTTTTATAAATACCAAACAAGTGTTAATATAATCAGACTTTAATTAATCAAAATAGAACCACTGACCTTTTTATTAGCAGGATTGTAATGAAAGAATTCACTTTATATTCAACATAAAAGAAATAAGAGACACACGATTCAAAGTTAGCGATCTTAACCAACTGGTTGCTAAGGACATCTTGTCACCTTAGTGAAATAACTGGTTAACTCCTATTAAATTTAGTACTTAAAGATCCTGTATGTTGTAATTAAGGTTGTTACCACACTTAAGTGATTTTATATATGTACGAATATAATTATGCTTCTAAAACAACTTTCAAACATCGAAGAATATGCAAAATATGTACTGCAAATATTTGTTCACTTTATATGTAATCATTAAAATATATGCTTTCATTTCGATTTGAAAAATTTGACTTAGACTAAAAATTATACAAAATAAATTTCTAATTACCTTCCTTTATAGACATGAAATGCAAATTCGGTTATTTCTTTACAAATAATGCTTTTTGGAACTTACAATATTGATAAATCTTCATTTGAGCATTAAATTCATGATATTAAACCATAAAAATGAGTTACAGCATCTTTAACCTGTTACTGCACTAAGGTGGCCATCTGTAAGTTTATGAAGAACCTTTACCTTTAAATCTTTGACAGATGAGCAAAATTGATCAATGAAGATGTTGTTACTAAGGACGAGTCTGGTGATCAGCCCTATAGGTGTTTCCAGCTGGTCATCTTTGAGGTATTTTTGGCAAGCATACATGAGACGGGGCATCAACTGATGGGCGTGGAGACAACTGAAAACATAAATATATACATTATAACTTTATACCGTTCATACAAAAACATTAAATTTTATTGATCAAAAACTCATTGGATATTATAATGATCTACATAATGGTAGTAAATGGCTTATCTGATTTAGTGTATATGAAGTAATGGGTTAAGATAGGGATGCTTGGGCACAGATGGAAACATAAAAGAAAATGTACATACAGGAAGATTTAACACTCACTGCATATAAAATAGGTTTACTTATTTCATTCACTTCACTACACTCTGCCTATAAGATGGATAAATCTACATTGTATTTCATCCACTCACAGTTGAGTCATGGTGTAGGCTGTTTGTTTACAAGATAAAGAGAATCCACTGAGGTTTTTTGATATGACAGGACTGGAAATAATTTTTAAAATTAATGTTCCATTTGATGTAGGTCTAGACCAGTAACTTGTGTTCAAAATTTTTAGATTATTCGCTCACTATGTTTTTGCCTGAAAATTATTTTTCTAATCCAAAATTGAAAAGTGTTGTAATGCTTTTCACTCATACCAGACTAAGAATAGCACAAACTGATTTTCAATTTATTTCTAAGAATCTTTATTTATCTTTTGCATTATCTTTCTGTTTTAAATGCCTAGGCTGATCTATGTAATAAATTCAAATATTATGTTTTAAGGCTTTTGGACCTCAGGGAAGTTCCTTTAAAGTGAATTGATCCATAATGGAAGGTTAGTAATGCCATAAATATTTATACTGATAGTATATAGTATTATAAATAATAACAAACCACAACCTAATTATATTTTAATTTGGTTGCTAAGACTATATTGATATATTGAAACATAATACGTTTGCGACCAGCATGGATCCAGACCAGCCTGCGCATCCGCGCAGTCTGATCAGGATCCATGCTGTTCGCTGTCAGTTTCTCCACTTGTAATAGAGTTGGTAAGCGAACAGCATGGATCCTGATCAGACTGTGCGGATGTGCAGACTTGTCTGGATCCATGCTGGTCGCAAACCCACTATGTTGGTTTTGTCGTGACACGGCTCATATGAATTTGGTTGTTAAGTGTGAGATACATGATCGGATATGGCATTCCCATTTATAGCAGAAAAAAAAGTTTTTAATAAACAAAATATTATATATTCAACATATAAATGTTTAAACCACTTACAATTTGATCAACATTTTATTTATTAAGGAATTGTTTGTATGAATATATAAATAATACATTTCCTTTGTTTTTATCAATATTTGAAATACTATCTATGAGTTCTCAGTAAAGGGGGGGGGGTCCCTATTTTTGTGCCCATTTAAGCAAAAAAAAAATAATTAAAATACATATGTGCCCATTGCAGATCAATATATTTTAACAAGCTCATCCCACCTGTGGAATTTCAAGTTGATACTTCCAATAATTTTTTAGTTTATGCCTTAAGTTAATGGGGAAAAAAACAAAAACAAAATTTTTTAATTAAAAAAACATTATGAAGAGCAAAAATGCATATTTAGCTCTTATAGATTTTAAACTTGGCACTTCTACTAAATTTTCCTTATTCTTGTACCTGTAAAATGATATATGATGTGGAAATTATAAATCATTCATTTTCTAATAAATACTCTTTCAGGTAGAATAAAAAATAAAATACATCTAAATCTTTTATTTTTAATGAATCTAATATTTTTGGAAATTGGATTTTCATATAAGTTACCCTAATATTTTTTCAAAGTCAAAAAAATCAAAATTTATTTTAATGTTCAACTATGATTGTATCAATTGAAAAATAAAAGAATTTTAACATAATATTTGTAAAAATTAAATAAATAATGTGTGAAAATCAAAACACAAACACTTTGAGCAAAGAATCACTCAACTGTAGCCCAAACTAGCCAATTATCACCTAACCAATTAAACATTCCTTTAATCTTACTGGGCAGCATGGACAGTGCTGGCCTTTTATACATCCAAATAAGAGATATCAATCCAAATACAATGAAAAATTAGATATAAAATAAAGCACGATAAGAAAGAGAGGAATATAACTATATATAATATAATATATCAATATACAGAGGATAGCTTAGAAAAGATTTAGACTAGAAAATTACAACAACAAACTGAGAAACAAAAAATGAGCAAATATAAATACACACAAAGCTAAATACATAATATAAAATATCATAATCCTAAAACAATTACATAGACATCCAAAGTTTACAAACCGCCCCACACAACCCCATATCAATTACTTAAATATAATAATGATTAATATATCAATAATAAATTAATAAATATCATATATAAATATATACAAATTAAAAGCCCGCCCGACCAGCCCCAATATATACAATAAGTATTAACCCCTATACTTCAATTCGACACTGTCAACATCATACTGCTGCATACAAACACCAATTAACTAATGAAATATATTGGTAAATTGTCGCTCCTACATGTTTAATGCTTGTTGTAAAGATACTTACAAGCACTTGGACCAGGAGTAAAATTCAACACAAATACAGGAAGGAGAATGATGCTTATCTATTACTTTTTGGTACATCCTTACTTCTTATTCTTTTCTTTGTTTTTTTATGAAGTCGTTCTTTTATTCTTTTTTTCTTTTTTGATTTTTTTGGTTTATTTATTATTTTTGCTTATTCTTCTTGTGTTTTTTGATTTTTTTTTTTTTTTTTATTTTTATCTTTCGTTTTTATTTTTGTTTATTTTTTCTTCGCCATTTTACCTTGTCTCTTTCTCTTTTTAAGATCAGTCGTTCTGTGTGCTGTGTTTTCTTTCTTGTATTCTTCTAGTATCTGACGTCTGTTATTTCTTTATTCTTTTCTCTGATGTTGTTGCTGATATGTTTTTTGATCTTGGCGTTTGTTCATGTTTACAAATGTCGGGCTAATCTCATATGTGCCATCACTGATCACTTATACAATTTATCTCTATCTTGATTGCATCGCGTTAAAAACTGTAACACCCTTTCCTAGGCATACAAATAGTTGTTTTTTTTATTTTAACTCGTTTCTTCTCACTGAGAGCACATAATTTCATTTCTTGATCCAATTTCGCCGATTGTGAAAATATAGTTAAATAAAAACCTAATCCTGTTACTTTAATATGTGATAAAATGTGAGCAATACTTTTAAATCATTCTGCATAAACGAACCAAAATCACTTCCATTTTATCGACAGACTAAATACTAGACGTGATTTGACGCTGTCTACTATTCGATACAATAATGTGTATTTCTGTAAGGAAATAATCAGTTTTTACAATCTCTCGTGAAAGATCTAACAATGGATAAATATCTAATTTAGAAAGAGATTACGGTAGCATCGTTGCTTTTTGCCCATGCTTGCAACGGAATTCTAATAATTCCTGCTAAATGTAGTCCTTTTTTCTCGACTGGAACTTGTGCCAGAATTTCACAAATTGAAAAAAATTAAATATTTCATTCATTAATATTAAAAACTATGAAATATTAGGTAGGGAAAGTTTTTGCCTTTCCGGTAACTTCCCCGTGTTTATGATGTAAACCTGTTTTTTAATTCATGACGTGACCAGATAACGCCAGAAAAATCGAAATAGCTTGCAACTGAAGCCGCTCTAATACAAGCAACTTCCAAGGTTATGCAAAGTGTTTGATAAAACGGCTTATAAACTGACGAAGATCCAATATTCTGTGGAAAGCTTATATATTTTTCTCCGTAGACTGGTGCATATCCCAAAGAAATTGGTACAGAAATAAAATATTTACGGCTATTTTTCTTTTCCGAATCGAGCAACATTTGTCTTGGAAATGATGCCGAAAATGACTTTGAACAATGTCACGTGGTATTGCCACACTGTTTATAATTAAAACAACATTTTTAGTGTAAAATTATTATTGTTAGTAAATTTGGGCGATATTTGGGTATATTTGGCATATTTGGCTATTTTGTTGCTGCCCACCTTAGGCTTCTTTTCAGGGTTTATTAATTCTATCAAAAATGAATGAAAGAAACCAATCAATATAATAGGTAAGTCGCCAAATACAGTAGTGGTTTAATTCCTGCATAAAGGATCTTCACGTTGCAAAAAATATTACGCAGACCGCCTACAATAAAAAGCGTTTCTTTGTCATCAAAATTAATATTTTTCATACATTTTTTATTAGAGGAAATGTCGTTGGCATTTGTACCGCCGCAGCAGAAGGGCCCAAAAGGTCCTCCTCCGAACCAAGCCAGTATACAAAAGGTGAACCATTTTCCGAACAGTTTATATTTTTTCAATTATTTGTATGATTGGTTCGTACTTGTACCAGCTCGTACCAAACTAGCAAGTCGCACGGGTAAACTCTTATAAAAGCCTATTAGGATATAGATTGTTTAGTTTAATAATATAAATTAAAAAAGTCTGATAGGACTTAATGTTTGAATTTTTTTTCTGCTTAGAAGACATAATCTTCCAATGACTATGTTGTTATTCACTTATTGTCTATATTGATAAATTAAGTTTTATCGTATAAGACTAAATAAGTACCTAATCTCACACCCAACCTATTCTCAAACCTTTCATTCATGTGCTGTTATTTTTTTACTAGAAGTGACTATGATGTCCGTAACTTGTGTGCATAAAAGCTTAGTTTCTGACAGACATGTCTGCTGATGCCAAATGAAAACAGTGCATAGGAATAAATATATACATTACATATTTTATTACTTTGCATAATTTGATACAAATTGCTATAACCTTTGTAAGTCCCGTAAATACACCATTAACTATTGGTGAAAATGAATATTAGAGATAAAAAAATCTTAAAAGCAGGTACCTGCAACGTGTAGGGTACTTCATTGTCATGTGACAGTCATATAACAATCACTTCATTGGATAAACTAAACAGTATAATTTTAGAGATACTTGAAGGGGTTTGAGATTAGGTTCTTACTTTTAAGAGGCCATGTCAGTTTTAAAAAATAGGGTTGTGCTTTTCCAAGATGGAAATAGAGCTTTTTAATTGATGAATTTCAGTCTACAGAA